TTTTTGCACCGGATTTGAAGTACTCAGATTATTAACTGCATGAATGGTTTTTATGCGCTTTTGCATATATGCAAATTGCAAAAACGCATATTAGGAAGAGGTTGTGTGGGTGTGTTCTTATTTTTTGTCACCCACTTTCAACTCCAAAACCATAAAAGCTAGAAGGCTGAAACTTTGGGAGTATGTGCTCGTACCATGCGTGACCCTCCTGTTTTAATATCCCGCGGACGCCTGGGTGCCGCGTACGGACGCTTTAAAAAAAATACAGATTTTTTGGCGGGAAAGCGATGTCGGAACCAGACAAGGTAACGGGCTGAAACTTTGTAGGGATGTTCCCTGTGCAAGTATTAGCTAAATATTTCAAATCCAGCCCTCGGGCATGCGTAGTTCTTACTCATGAGCACGCGAAAGATTTGGCGGGAAAATTGTTAACTCGGCAGTCAGAAAAGCTGCATGGCTGAAATTTTAGAGAGATGTTCCCTGTTCACGTGCAATTTAAAAATTTCAAATTCAGCTTCCCAATCACGTGGAGTACCCACGTACGAGCATGTGAAAGTTTTGGCGGCAAAATTACTAACTCGGAAACCAGTAAAGCTAGAAAGCTGAAATTTTGGGATAATGTCCCTGTTCAAGTACAACTTGATTATTTCAAATTCAGCCTTAAGGTATGCTTGGTTCTTACGTATGGGTACCTAAAAGTTTTGGCGGAAAAATTTTTCACTGAACAGCTAAATTTCCTTTAAAGAGCAAGCGTTAAGTGCAAATTGTACATTTAATTTATGCAAAATTTATGGTGAATTATGCTAATGACCACAAAGGGTAGGTGTAAAACAACAACCATTCACGCAGATAGTGACCTGAGTACTTCAAGTCCATTGCAATAGCGCATGACCGCACGGGCTCGCCTAGTGGGTTACAGTTTGGGTTGCTTTACACCTACCTTTTGCGGTCACTAGTAATAAATCACCATAAATTTTGCGTAAAGTAAATGTACAATTTCCATTTAATGGTCGTACTTTAAAAGTAACCTAGCAATCCAGTGAGAAATTTTTCCGCCAAAACTTTTTAGTGCCCATATATGACATCTGAAAGCTGAATTTGAAATACTTAAAGTATATTGGACAGGGAACATTTTTTTAAAATTTCAGCTTCCTAGCTTTTCCGGTTACCGAGTTAGTAATTTTTCCGCAGAAACTTTCATACACCTTATATGGGTATCACGCATAGCTGGGGGCTGAGTTTGAAATATTTAGCTCACATATACACAGGGAATATTCCTACAAAATTTCAGTCTCTTAGCTTGTCTCGCTTTCCCGGCAAAAAATTTGCATATTTTTTTAAAGCGTTTGTACGCGGCACCCAGGCATTCGCGGGGGATGATATTAAAACGGGAGGGTCGCGCGTAGTATGGGCACACACTTCCAAAGCTCCAGGTTTCTAGCTTTTCTGGTTCTCGAGTTGAAAGTAGGACACACACACACACGCACACACACACACACACATACACACACGTACACAGACACACACACATACACACGCAGCCTTTTCCCTATACGCGTTTTTGCAATTTGCATATATGCAAAAGCGCATAAAAATTACTTATTTCAAGATATGGCTCGCGATTAGCTTGTGTAAGCTCTGGCCAGGCGGTGCTGTGAAAACGTTCTGCAATTGGTGTTTCTGCTTGCAGGTGAACTGGCTTTGACGGATCACTGAAACAAAAAAATTGTTCGTGAAATTGCGTGAAACACGCGCAGGTCATTGACTGCTTAAAATATAGGTTTATGACCTTTATTGCATGATTGTCACTTTGCTACTATGTACCACTTTGCTACTGCTACATATAAGAGATCAAAAAACAGGATATTGGAAAACCAGTGCTGAATGAAAAAAGTAAATGTTTGAGGAAAATTTTTCGGAAAAAATGGAACTTTAAAAGAACAAAAAAGTTTAAATCACACTTTAGTAGAGAAAAAATTATTTGATGTTGCACTAAAAACTTTGGAAAAAACTTGGGATAATAAGAGCTTAGAAGTTGCCTCCGCGCTTATAATTAGCCTCGTGGTCCGCTGCAGCTTTTACGCTTCTGAAGACTCTAATCTGCTTTTCACTCTATCTCATAGGTTCTTCCCTGTTCTGGTCAATCAAAGAAAAAGACCGGTCAGCTTTTAGGCTGCGGAACTAGCTTGGGTGAAATAGCATTTAATTCAAAAGCATACAGCTAGGACTAGCAAACATACCCGGATTTGACAAAATTTGAAATATAATGCATCATAACACGAGAGATCATCTGATCTTCAGGTGTGAAGCCGGAATAGAGCTGCAATAAAATTGCAATTCAAAGCAAAATCTTGATCACTGGGGCATGGACACGCTTATTTCTGCTATACAAAAGATCGAGCAGTTCTCATGCTGAGCAAATACAGAATTTTAATTTCTTATGCTTTAAAACATACGGTGAATAACAACAATTACTGAAAAGTTAATTAACCTCATCCTCTTTCTTAAGTGGATATCCTAAAATGTACGGTATGTGATCGCCTGAAATAGAGCCGCGAATGCCACTTTCGATAAATTCTTCCGACGTGCGTTTCGATTCATGTGCAAACAAAAACCTAGAAGGGTTAGCACTTTGGAGAAGAAAAGCAAGCATTTGAAACTGAAAGCTATTTTCCAAGAATCAAAGCACCGAAAAAAGATTTCCTGCTATTTACGCGATGGTATAGTAAGAATACTAAGATCATTCATTTAACCGGTTTGAGAATCTCCTGTTAGTGATGGTATTGGCCCTACAGTCCGGATCTGGCATACTTCAATGACCAACTATTCGATAAAAGCAAAATTTTGAACTTGCTACACTATCTGGGACAAAACAGAAGTTTGAATTTGTGCCTCAGGTTTAGCCTTGTACATTAAGATATCACAGAGGTAAGCTGTGAGGTTTACACTTCAAAGTCTGAC